CAGGCATGAGGGAGTGCAAAGTAGAGAGGTATATTGGCAGCCCGTCCTTGTGTGGCAACTGTCAACGGTGGGATCACAGAACGTGGCAATGTGATCGCCCAATTAGGTGTGGGTGTTGCAGTGGCTCTCACGACACCAAGCAGTGTTTGGCTAAGCTTAAACCGGGTGGGGGTGACGGGGTAACACCTAAATGTGCCAACTGCAAGTGACCCCACCATGCTTGGAACAGGTATTGCAGCGCGAGGCCTACATGGCGGGGCTCGAAACCACCGAATCCAACCACAGGTGGACCAGTGAACGGGGGCGGGAATTGCACCGTTAACAGTACTACAGCAAGCCAGGGTCCAGTTCAGGGACCAGCCCAGGGTCCAGCTCACAGTAGACCGACAACAGTCTGGAGTAGTGATCACTCAGTGAACAGGGGAACCCAGGGTGGGGGGGGGGAATCAGGCGTGGGGCGGGGGCGGTGTAGCCAGCCACCACCGCTCCCCCATCCCTTTGGCCTTCCCACCTCTTCCCCCTCCAGGGAACCCACCTACCCACACCTCAATCTCTACCCACGGTGTCACACCACCACCACCACCACCACCACCTACCCTCCCAATCCATACCAATGAATCAGACCCCTCCACTGTCTCCCATCTGCCTCCCCATCCAGGCACTCCTGACCCCCAGGAGGTCGTCACTCAGGTTTGTGTTACAGCAATATTAGACCGTATGATAAGATCTCATCCAGTCGTCCACCAAATATTACAAAAGCAGACAGAACTTGAGAAAGCCCTCTGCCAGATTAAGACGACTCAGGAACAAATCCTCCAAATCCTGCAACGGCAGAGTCTATCAAGTGGAGGTCCTGCCAGCCAGAGCCTGGTGCAAGATGATGCAACACATACTGCCGAGGTACGTCAGCAGACACAACCAGGACACCAGCACACCAGTGCACACAGTAACACCAGTGCACACAGTGACACCAGTGCACACAGTAACACCAGTGCACACAGTAACACCAGTGTACACAGTAACGCCAGTACACGCAGTAACACCAGTGTACACAGTAACACCAGTGCACACAGTAACACCAGTACACACAGTAACACCAGTGTACACAGTAACGCCAGTGCACACAGTAACACCAGTGTACACAGTAACGCCAGTACACACAGTGACACCAGTGCACACAGTAACACCAGTGCACACAGTAACACCAGTGCACACAGTAACACCAGTGCACACAGTAACACCAGTGCACACAGTAACACCAGTGCACACAGTAACACCAGTGTACACAGTAACACCAGTGCACACAGTAACACCAGTGCACACAGTAACACCAGTGCACACAGTGACACCAGTGCACACAGTAACACCAGTGCACACAGTAACACCAGTGCACACAGTAACACCAGTGCACACAGTAACACCAGTGTACACAGTAACACCAGTGCACACAGTAACACCAGTACACACAGTAACACCAGTGTACACAGTAACACCAGTGCACACAGTAACACCAGTGCACACAGTAACACCAGTGCACACAGTAACACCAGTGTACACAGTAACACCAGTACACGCAGTAACACCAGTGTACACAGTAACACCAGTGCACACAGTAACACCAGTACACACAGTAACACCAGTGCACACAGTAACACCAGTACACACAGTAACACCAGTGTACACAGTAACACCAGTGCACACAGTAACACCAGTGTACACAGTAACACCAGTGCACACAGTAACACCAGTGCACACAGTAACACCAGTGCACACAGTAACACCAGTACACACAGTGACACCAGTGCACACAGTAACACCAGTACACACAGTAACACCAGTGTACACAGTAACACCAGTGCACACAGTAACGCCAGTGCACACAGTGACACCAGTACACACAGTAACACCAAACACCATGGAATACACGATGACACATGTGAACATAATAATTACACACGTGCAACTGATGACAAACAACCTCAAAATGGATAATCACAATGAACAACATCTCACTATACTGCAATGGAACTGTAATGGAGTTTGCAATAGAATTAATGACATCATACAGTACATCCGTGAACACCAAACTGACGTCATAGTGCTACAGAAGACGATGGTAGGTGATGACTTCAACCCAAGGTTCAGCGGTTATCGCAAGTTCTCCCTGCCCCATGGGGAAAGAAAACGGGGTCTCATCACTTTTGTAAATAACAACATTCCCGCACAGATTATTGATGACCTGCACATGGGGGATGAGTTTGAATCACTGGGAGTAACCCTTTACTTAAACAATAATGCCCTACATACAATCAATCTATATGTGCCACAGAGTAAACTTGACCTTGACACACTGCCTGAATTTGTTAATGAAGAACCTACCCTGCTGGTCGGTGACCTGAATGCCAGACACCCACACTTTGGTGCCAAGTGTCATCAGCCCAATGTCAATGGACGGAAACTGTCACTCTTTGTCAGGGGAAGTGAAAACCTTAGAGTCCTGGGTGATGAACAGCCAACTCACCTCAGAGGAGGAAGATTAGACTATGCTCTCCTGCTGAATGCACAGGACACAGATGCCAGTACACACATTGTGCACAGTTTATGTAGTGACCATTGGGCACTGATTACCACCGTCGACATGAGCAAGAGAAGGAAAGAGACAAATAAAAGAAAAAGGTTATCACTCAGACCAGATATGAGGCCGCACTTCATAAACAGGATGAGTGACTGGTTCACGGAATACCAAATCCCAGAAGACATTGACACATTTGTTGATGACCTTAATCACCAAACTGAGAGCTGTCTAAGAGTTCCGCGCCGTACGCCTGGGCGAAGTAACCCTCAGCGGAAGAAAATAAAATGGTATGAGAAGGATTACATAAAGATGCTTAACTCAAATGTGCGAGACATGAGTAGAGAGTACCGGAGACATCCCACTGAAAGTAACCAAGAGCTCTTCTTGGTTATCTTCGGCTCTTCGAGTCTGGTCTTATGATGTGGGTGTATCACCATCTCTATGGTGATCAGGTGGCTTCGTTGATGGTGTCCCACCTGCGAGCTTTGTTTCGGTGACAGTATGACGTTCCTGGCTTTTCTATTCGCCATGTTCTTGTTCTTCGTAGGTTGTCTTCTCTTTCGCATTGGGTTCTCTTGTCCTTTCCTGGGTTTTCAAGACCGTTAATAGATGCTTATTACTGTCGCCTCATATAGTTTGGCACTGAAGGAGCCGCTCTGGCTTGCATTCGGGGTGGACGTCACATCCGCCCCTGTTCTGTACACTTTCTCGTGTTTTGTTTCACCTCCGGCCTGCTCATGCACCGCCTAAGCCATCCTAGTACTTGATCAGGGTGCCCTCTTATCTTTCCTCTCCTCAGTTTGTGGTAGCCCCTTCGGTTCAAGATTGTTTTTCAAAGGCCATATTTTGTTGGCATGGACCTCTGCGGGTCGGGTCAGGGGAGCTTTTGGCTCTATTCCGGCGCAGGGGTTCCTGCTCTTTTGGTACTGGTGGTAAGTTTGTACGTTTGCAGCCTTTCTCCGTCCATCTGGTGATGGTAGAGACGGCTGCTTTCCGGAGGGGTCCTTGGGTTACTCATGCTTGGTTGGTTCGGCCGGGGGTACGTCATGTGTTGTCCGGTAGCGGCTCTTTCGTCTTACCTGTGAGTCGTGACTGGGGATGCTCTTTGGGTTGATGAGGTTCCCGTCGTTCCATGTTTCAGGGCTCGGGTCCCCCAGGTTGTCCTCAGGGTTCTTAAGTCTACCAGCCTGCCATCTATCCTTGCACCCGTGCTGTTCGGATGTTTGCAGCTTTTGCTGCTGTGTTGGTGACATCTTGGATTCATTTCGGGCGAGAGGATTTGGAGGTCGCACAGGTTCCTGGCCGTCCGTTCTTTTGTGAACTTGTCTGCTCCTGTGCATTATTGTGTTGCTTTGGGTAGCAGGTTGCAGCCTGTTGTCTCGACTTCGCGTTGCGGAGTTTGTGGCGGGACGCCTCCCAAGTCAACCCTTTCGTTTCCTTCTCTTTGGGTATGAAGCTCCAGGGAGCCATAGGGGCTCCCCACAGAAAACCAGCGTTGAATGTAATGAAACGCACTTTCCTGGGTGAGCCCCGGAGGCTCCCTGGCAACCCTCCTTCCCACCGTTCGGCGTTTTTTTCACGTTGGTTGAGGCTTAGCTTCCAAACTGATGCTAGGCAGCCGGTGCGGTGAGGTCCGGGCCCCCCCCCTCCTCCTCTCAGGGTGAGGAGGTCTGCGCGAACAAGCGGCGCGGCAGTAAAGTGTGATGTTTGCTTGTTTCCTTGGGATTGTAGGGAGTTTCTACCTCTCTGTTCAGTTTTTTGTTTTAGTTTCTTATCATGTGGGATTTGTTTTGTTATGCCTACCTTTCTGGGTGCCTAACCCTGGTCAGTGGCAGATAAGGAAAAACCCCTAACCAAAAGGGTTTTTCCAGGGTCATTGCTTCCTGAAACCTCTCTGAAGGGGCCAGGTTCTGGCGCTGGTACCTGGTAGGTCTGAACTCCATAGCTAATGTCCCAGTCTATTATAACATACATTAGCCCGATAAGCTCCAGGGGAGTCTCCGGGGCTCACCCAGAAAATGGCGTTTCATTATATTCAACGCTTTTTTTTTGAGCCTGTGGGTGACAAAGGAGCTTAGGGTTAAGTGAAACATTTGCATAGTCATTTGGCAGTTTCATTGCTTCATTTTCTATGAACCTTGCAATTGTATGTATTGCATCATTTATTTCATGGATACCTTCTTAGTGCCACAGCTCTCTGTGCCTCTGGCTCTGGTCCGCAATAGGTTATACAGTACTTTTATAGCTGATGTGACTGCACGGAAAGCCATCTCAGTGGCTTGACGGAGCTCAGCTGAGCTTAGCGCAGCTACCAGAAAGCCCTCCAGAAAATTCCAAAAAAGTCAACCTCTTTTCTACTAGTCACACATTTAAAACATTAAGCTTTGTAAACATGTTAGATCAAAAAATTATTTCTTTCTTCCAGAAATATACGGTCCGAAACTTGGTGGTGCACTACTGCATAATTCTTCAGAACATGAGTTGACATCTATAGAATCAACCTTTAAATCAATGAATATGACAGTTGATATCTTCTCCGGCAACTATTCAGAAATTCTTAACCTATCTGTGCATATGGGTGCTCTCGATGTTAAGCGCTTTCCATTTACCACGTAAGTTATTGGGATATTTTTTCCAGTACATCTTTTATTATGTCTAAAGACTTGTACTTATTCAATCAGTCTCAACTGTAACAGTATGTAATAAACAAAAAGTTACACATATAATTATTGAATAATCCTATTATTTAGTTTCATGAAGTTTCCATTTTCTTGTTCATATACTCTTGATATTTCAGGAATCCTGAGACAGCAGACTTGACTCTTCTATTTAATGACACATATGCGCACTCCATTCCAATTCTCGTTAACCTTGTCAATAATGCTATAATGAGGTTAGTGTTTTTGCATTTTTGTTATGCTATATTTGTATCATTTCTCATGGTGATATATCTGAAAGCTTGTATTCTTTTTCTGAAAGAGCTAGCCTGAGTTTGACCTAACTGCATGGACTAATGTGATGCATTGTCTGGTATACATGAATTCTTTTCTGGGGGAAGCCCCCACGACTCCCCGGAGCTATCTTGGCTCATATGTATCTCCTTATAATTTGGCATCAGTCGATGTGGGTGGAGTTCTAGGCTTACCGGGTACCACAAGCCAGAACCTGGCCCCCTCAGAGACGCACGAGGAGCAATGGCCTATAGAAATGCACATGTGATTTATAGCATTCTATATTTGCCATCGACCGGGACAAGCACCCAGAAAGGTAAGTGACCCAAAACAAACCCTTATTCTGGTTAAAAAACGACGAAAGTATACAAACGAGTGGACAAAACTCCCCAATTGAAAATGAGCAAACTAGCATAACGTCATACGAGCAGCGCCGCATGTCTGCGCAGCTCCCCCCTCCCTGGAAGAGGGAAGGGGGAGCCCCAGACTCCCGCGCTGGCGATCCACACCCCAGTTCTTCAGCTGATGTGATATGGCATGGTCATGTGGCTCCAGCTCCAGACTCTTGTGTTGTGCTGTCCTCTGGTTCAGTACTGTTCTTACTGTGGCGTGTGAGCTTGGAGTAATATTCACAGGTACTCAGGCTGCATGTGCTTAGGGTCATCTTCCCTGTAAGTACCACCCTTGGGGCTTTGAGTTACCTTCCACAAGTCATTTTGGGTCTATCTCTGTTGGCCTTTTGCTGCTTGGCGATTGACCACCACGAGTGCTTTATGGGATTTCCACCCTAGTCTACCTTGGGGTAAGTTGTAGTTTTGCACTGGAAGGGGCGCGGGGTACCACGCAGCTAGTTTTCACCCATAACAACGGCCGGCTCTGTTCCTTCTGGGTACGCTGTCCTCTTGCAAGGTTTTTATTTTTATTTTTGCCTGGTGGGGGGGTGGGGTCTGCCTTGGTGTCCCTTTCCCCTGTTATTCTAGGGTTTGCTTTTCTTTTTGGTGGTACCCCCTGCTTTGCCCTCGTGAGTGGACACATCCCAGGGGTTGAGCATTAGCAGTTTATTTGGTAGCATTGGGCGCCAGTTAGCAATACCCTGCCTGGGCTTACCCTTAGCAAAATCAGTCTAGTGGGCCCCTGGGAAACCCTGTGGGGGCACTCGGGTCCAATGGATGCGACCCCGGTGTCCCCTCTCGTTGTGAGCGCGTTTGAGGGGTTATTCTGTCCCCTTGTAATTGGCACTTAGTGCACTTAGGGACGACGCTGTTAGTTTTTGCTGCCTGTTGGCTCGGTGACACCTTTGACCCAGATTCCTGCGAGCATTGTTGCCTCTTTGTGACTTGATTCACCCAATTTATTGATGACATTATTCGGGTGCAGACGGCTCGTGCGTTGCAGGCTCGGTTTAGGTTGTTGCAACATGCTAGGTTGGTTGCTACCCCAGATGCCCCTAGGCTGCCCCGTTTTGCTTATAGGGACCTGGACACGGGGGTGTTGGCCGCATCGGCCTTGATTCAGTCCACGCCCCCTTATTCTTTCCCTGCTGTGGTTCATTCAGTCCCCACCCCCCTGCTTCTGGCTCCTTTGCATCTAAAGGCTTCGGGGATGGGGCAGGGTTTCAAGGTTTCTGAGACTTGGGCGGTTTCGGGGGTTGCCCGTTCTCACACTTTCTTACAGTCAATATTGACTTATTAAATACGTGCATATGTGACATACTAAACATACTAGTTTACCTTGAAAAGCTTCATAGAAAACACCAACCTTACCTAACATTCTTAGTATGTTAAGATAAGCATCTTATTGCTTCATAATTACAATTATTACCTTACCTATTATAGGAATAGGTTAAGTAATAATTGTAATTACGAAGCAATAAGATGCTTATCCTAACATACTAAGAAGGTTAGGTAAGGTTGGTGTTTTCTATGAAGCTTTTCAAGGTAAACTAGTATGTTTAGTATGTCACTTATGCACGTATTTAATAAGTCAATATTGACTGTAAGAAAGTGCGAGAACGGGTTGTCTGGGGAGGCAACGGAGGCATTCGAGTCTGTTCCTCCATCCGTAGCTCCTATTTCTGACCCATCGCATCGTTTTCTTGTGAGGCCAGATCTTTGAAGGACGACTCGCCCCCGGGGCCTGACATGGAGGTTCCTGGGGTTGGGGAAGGGCTGGCTTGGGGACCATAAGCTCTGTTGGACTCCGCTTGGGTTTTCCAACCCTCTGGGTGTGGCTTTCGGTTACAAGGAGTGGGGTTTACCTCCAGTTCTTTATATGACTCATTGGTCCTCTTCCGTACTACTTATCGTTTCTCGATACTGTATCTCATTATTTTATCATTCCATTCCAAAAGACGGGTGGTGCAGCTCGATCCTCAGGCACATGAAGCAAGGATGATTGTTTTGTTCTGGGCGGTGTTAACGTATGTTAGCGTTCCGCATCCTTTATCACGGGTTATACACTGCTCTTGCTCATTTTCTCCCCAGTCATAGCTCCCTAGCCACTGTGCTGCTTTGGCTCCAAATATGGCACCACCCCTTCCCCTTGTGCACAGGAAATAAGTTCTTGGCAAAAAAAAAAAAAATTCCTCTAATATTGTTAAAATACAGTCTCTGATCATAGAAAACTAACAAAAAAAAATATTGTATGTGACATACATTACAATACCCCCAGTCATTAAAACCCTCCCAGTCTCGGGGCGTTTTCCCTCTTCCGGAATGGCGGCAGAGGCATTCAAGTCTGTTCCTCCTGCCGTGCTGTATGGGACTAACCAGTGGGTTCCTTTCCTTAGTGTTTGTACGGCTGCCCCAGCTTTTCCTTGTAAAGCTGGGGCTTGGGGGATGGGGGGGGGCGGCTCAGCCCCGAGTCTTGCCGTAGAGGTTCCCGGGGTTGGGGAGGGGTTGCCTGGGGGGGCCTTGGCCCCATTTTGCCCCTCTAGGGTCTTTGTACCCTCGGTGAGGGGCTGGCAGTTCCTCAGAGTGGGGTTGTTCCTTTCCCCTCTGAGTATCCACTCAATTTAACGGCCTCTTTTATACCGATCTGCTGGTAATAACGACCGGTTTGGGAGACCGGTATTTAGAGCCTCATATAATGGTCTGGCGGTCGATATTACCGAAGGTCGGTATTGGGTTTGTATTAGTATCAGAGGGTCCTCACAGGGCAAGCAGGCTGCCTACCCCTTTCATCCCCTCCCTCACCCCTCACTGAACCTCTACCCCCACACCCTTACTTTCTGCCCCCCGCCCCCCCCCAAGACCCTTCTGGGAAATGGCTCAGTAGACTGCCAGCCAGCCGGAGACAGTCTGGAGAATCTCCATCTAATAAAGCATTCATGAAACAAGTATTTTATAACTTTTTATTATCCTAATATTATTACTAAACAAAATCTGCAAGCAAAAATATATATGATGTACATCCATAATTAAATAAAGAAACATCTGGTTAACTGGGTCAAGTGTTAGGCTTATCTCTTCCCTTCCCTACCACCGACACACCCCCTCCCCCCACCCCCCTGTCCCCCCCCCCCCATACTTCCCATACACTCGCTCTCTCTCTGCTTCACCTCATCATCCCTGCTCCATCCCTCTCTCCCTCTCTTCTTCCCTCCCTCCTTCCCAGCTCCCTCCCTCCATCCAACCATCCCTCACTCCCTCCTTCCCTCCAGCCCTCCCCTCCTCTCCTCCCCCTCCCTCCCTCCCTCCCTCCCTCCCTCCCTCCCTCCCTCCCTCCCTCCTTCCATCCCTCCCTCCCTCCTTCACTCCCTCCCTCCATCTCTTCCTCCCTCCCTCCTTCCTTCCATCCCTCCCTCCTCCCTTCCATCCCTCCCTCCTTCCCAGCTACCTCCCTCCATCCCTCCTTCCCTCCATCCCTCCCCTCCTCTCCTCCCTCCATCCCTCCCTCCTTCCCTCCCTCCATCTCTCCCTCCTTCCCTCCCCTCCATCCCTTCCTCCCTCCTTCCTTCCATCTAAACATCTGGTTGCGAGCCGGTCCCTTCCCCCACCAACGACACCCCCCACCCCCCCAAACTTCCCATACACGCGCTCTCTCTGCTTCACCTCAACAACCATAGCGCCTTCCCTCTCTCCCTCCCTCCATCAATCTATCCATCCATCCATCAATCCATCCATCAATCCATCCATCAATCCATCCATCAATCCATCCCTCCATCCATCTCCCTCCCTGCCTACCACCCAGCCTCTGCCTGCCTCCCTCCCTCCCTCCCTGCCTACCACCTAGCCTCTGCCTCCCTCCCTCCCTCCCTCCCTCCCTCCCTCCCTCCCTCCCTGCCTACCACCCAGCCTGCCTGCCACCCAGCCTCTGCCTGCCTGCCTCCCTCCCTCCCTCCCTCCCTCCCTCCCTCCCTCCCTGCCTACCACCCAGTCTCTGCCTGCCTGCCTGCCTCCCTGCCTCTGCCTGCCTGCCTCCCTCCTTCCTTGCCTGTCCCTCCCTGCCTACCACACAGCATCTGCCTGCCTCCCTCCCAAGCTCTGCCTTCCTCCTTGCCTCTCCCTCCCTGCCTACCGCCTTGCCTACCTCCCAGCCTCTCCCTGCCTGCCTGCCTACATTTCAGCCTCTCCATCCCTGCCTGCCTGCCCATCCACCCACCAGTCAGCCATCACTGACACAATGAGTGCATTTGGAGCCAACATGGTGCACGGATGTTCCTTGATTGTGCAGATATGTCCAACAAAGTCACGGAATGAATACTCCAGCCTCATGACAAATCAAAACAATGTGCCGGGAATCTGTGACATCACAGGGTAGAAGGCACTAGAGTGGTGGACCCAGTGGCTGTCTGTATAAAATATATCTTACCTGAACGTTACTTGAAAAATTACCGACACTTGGAAATACCTGAGCTCCAGAAATAACGACCAGGGTACAGCCCCATATAGGCCGTTAAATCGAGTGGATACTATACAATTCCTACTGCCTCTAGTATGCA